AAACAAGAGTTGTAGGCACAAATTAAGGTGCTCCATAGTTTTGTACAAAAACAAGAGTTGTATTACACAAATAACGCTTTGTGCAATTTGCAGACACCACAATGTGAAGGGGATGTGCGTATGCGTGTGTCAGTTTTGCACAAGAGGCAAAACCCCTTGAGGAGGTTGCTGAATGCTCATAATGCAATGTGTTGTGCTAAAATGTCCAGATTGCTTAGGCATAGGACTGTCAAGTGAAATAAGAAGCAGGGTTCATATCCTTTTAATGGTTGTGTAAAAGAAGGAGGAACCCTGTTCCTTGTGTCACCTGCCAACTCTACTTCAGAGCAGTGAGAATTTTTTTCTGGAGCAGTCATTCCCCAAAAAATCCAACCCTGGTCACTCTACTTTTGCTTTTTCACTTCAGCAGTATAATTGAGAGGGTGTGTGTGGCATTTTGCTATTGGCATTGGTTAACCAATGAGAAATCCTAGGTGATCTAATTCAGATCTCCTAGAGATCTTCAAGTAATAATAATAATAATAATAATAATAAACTTTATTTTTATACCCTGCCTTTTGCCTGGGCAATCAAGGCAGCTTACATCTTAAGATAAATAAAAGCATCCTACATTAGACAATAAAACATAATAAAGACAAGTTACCCTCCCCCTTAAAAAAGAATTAAATTAGATGTCTTGCTAAAATAGTTAAAAATTAACTGATGTTCAAGTACCAGTAAAAGAAAAATCTAAAAATATATTAAGAATATAAAAGAGGGAGAGACACAAATTAAGTAGAGTCTATTCTATTCTGGGAAGGCCTGCCGGAAGAGATCTGTCTTAATGGCTTTTAAAAATTGTCCAGGCTGGTAATTTGACGGATCTCTTCCAGCAAGTAGATTTTGAGACTGCCATCTGGTTCAACTGTACCTGATAGCCCAGATTTTTCTACAGTGACTTATCAGCTGTGCTTTTATTCTTCAAACATTAAAGATTATTTTTTTTATGCATAGAAAATATATCAGTAGTTGCAATCTATGTGGGTTGTCCAGGGAGAGGTCATATTTGAGGGAGGTATTACAAAAGGACCTTCCAGATTCATGTCAATGCCCCCCTATTTGCAAAATACTCCATTTGCATATTGTAATTAGGTGTTCCAGGTCTGTGAGGTACATTATTATTTGACCACATATTTTATTACTGTTTGGAAATGATTTATTATAAGTAACACACTACATGTAATGAATCCCATCCCTGGAATAATTAAAGCAAAACTAAGCTACATTATGATTGTAACATAAATAAGGAGAGACAATTTTGATCTCCTTGTGGTGTAACTATAGCTGTTACTTTTAAATCACTTATAGTTTCTTTATGGCCTTACTTCTTAGGTTTGTTGCTTTCCAAAAATTTCACGGTGACATTCTAATTTGAGGCCTTTGAATATGTAACAGCAAATATATATATGCTACATGTGTTTTTTCAAGCTGCACATTTTAATACTTGACGTACATAGTGAGCATGGTCTCTGCCATCGAGCAAACCTTGTTAGCATCACAGCCAAACTTTAACAGCTGTCCAGTGTCACAGAAAGGGTTACAGTGTATTTAGTAGGGCCTGATAGTCGGTTTCTCTTTTGCTTGACCGATCAAGCTTGGGAATGGACTGGTGTGTGTATGTGAAAACTTCCTGTTAGCAGCCTGCTTTTATAGTTTGCATAGCTGCTGAGGCGGTCATACTTGTACACTTCACTTTTCTTTGCTTCTGTGCTATTAAACTCCTAGGAATCCATTTGCCATATAGACCTTGCAGCTCAGCTCAGGAAACCTGCTTATCCAGCCATGGGGAAGTGCAGTATGGGATAGTTTAGGTGGCATTTATAGTTTTTTGTGTTCTAGAAGAGTTTCTTTCTGACATTTTGCCAGCATCTGTGGCTGGCATCTTCAGAGAACGGAGTCTAGGTGGCATTTATCAGCTATGGGGGGCCAGTTCTACCACTTGCTTTGGGGGTACTGCAATATTTTCTCTGGTTTAGACCACTAGCTGTTATGCTATGCTCACTAGATCTTGTGTGAAAGCATTACAAGTTGAGTCTCTCTTGTCCAAAATGCTTGGAGAAGTGTTTTGGATTTCAGTTTTGTTTATTTGTTTTTTGTTATTTTGGATTTCAGAATACCTGTATTTGCATAATGAGATAGCTTGGAGATGGGACCCAAGTCTAAACACAAAATTCATTTATGTTTCATATACACCTTATACACATAGCCTGGAGGTAATTTTAAACAATTAAAAAAAACATTTTTGTGCATGGAGCAAAATTTGTGTACACTGAAACACCAGTGTAAGCAAAAGTGTCACTATCTCAGCCACCCAAGAAAAATGTTTGGGTTTTTGGAATATATTGGATTTTAGAATTGCGGACAAGGGAGACTTAGCCTGTATTACACCCACTTGATCTTGTACCTCTCTCTCTTTCTGTGTTTGTATGCATGCACACAGCCGTGTCTGCATTCTCAGGTGAGCTGAAATAAGCATGGAGATTGCTTCATGTTTTGAAATGGTACTGCTGTGTGTCTGAACTACAGGTCTTATGGTGC